GATAACTGTAGGCAGGTAGGGGATGGCTGGAAGAGGTGGGTCATTCTGGGCGTGCCTTTTAAGTACATATTTTGTTCCTGGAGAGCCAAGCTTAGTCTCTCTCTGCTCCTGATTGCCCTGTTCTGAGGTGTTTTCCCCAACCATGCCCTTCCACCATAATGTTTTGCTTCACCTTGGGCTCAGAGCAATGGAGTTGGCCATCTGTGGACTGAGACCTCTGAAACCATGACCCCAAATAAACTTTTCCTCCTCTAAAATTGTTCTTGTCATGCTTTTTGGTCGCAATGGTGAAATAGCTGACCAAAACAGCAGGCATCTTACTGGTTCCAGTCTCTTTCAATCTTTTGCTTGCTTTATAATGGTCATGGTTCCCTCTGAATAAACACTTTTGTACATGGATTGTCTTCTATAATTGCCTGCAGCCAGCTATTGCACAGACACACATTGTTATGATTTGAATGACTGGGGACAGTACTAGAAGATACTATAGACCTTTAAAAGGGGTTGTCTTATCGAAGGTCCTTATGTCATTGGGGGCATATCCTTGAAGGGGACTGTGGGACCCTGCTGTCAGCTTCCTATGTGCAACTTGGTTCATGATGTTACTGCTCCCTCAAAATGTGCCCCTGCAAAAGACAAATGCTGAATGTTTTCTCTGATATAAGGAGGGTGACTCATAGTGGGGTAGGGAGGGAGAGCATGGGATGATTAGATTAGTTCTAGATAGGGCAGAAGGGTGGGAGGGAAAGGGAGGGGGCAGGGGATTAGCAAGGATGGTGGAATGTGATGGACATCATTATACAAAGTACATGTATGAAGACTTGAACTGGGTGTCAACATACCTTATATATAAACAGAGATATGAAAAATTGTGGTTATATATGTGTATTAAGAATTGTAATGCAGGCTGGGGATGTGGCTCAAGCGGTAGCACGCTTGCCTGGCAAGCCTGTGGCCCGGGTTCGATCCTCAGCACCACATACAAAGATGTTGTGTCCTCCAAAAACTAAAAAATAAATATTAAAAAATTCTCTCTCTCTCTCACTCACTCTCTCTTTTAAAAAAATAATTATAATGCAAAAAAGTACATGTATAATGACATAAATTGACATGAACATACTTTATTTACAGAAATACGAAAAATTATGCTGTATATGTGTAATAAGGATTGTAATGCATTCCATTGTTGTCGTGTATTTAAAAAATAATAATAAAATCAATAAAAAGAGAGAGAGAAAAAAAACCACAATACCAGGTGGTTAACTTGAAGCCATAGAAAGAAAGTTGCCTCAAATATTTGTTTTACTAATATGAAGCTGACAAACACATACGTATTTTGATTTTTCTAAACTATTTCCCCAAACATGGCTTTCACGTATCTTTATTTCCAATCTAGTTCTCATGAATATAAAGTTCTCACTTTCACATTTGTGTATTTTACCCATCCACTGGGTAGATAAGACAATTTTATTTTAGTGTGTGAATTCAGAAAAAAAAATTATAGAAGTTTATACCAAAATACTCATAATGTTTCTCATCTTGGTGAGTTTTCTCCTGGCTTATTTATTTTTTCAGGTTCTGCTTAAATGAACATGTATCAATTATGGACTGATATAAAATATCTACTCATTTTTTTTAATGAATGACTAATAATCCTTATTTGAATGTCTGTTGCTTTGTTTCAACTCCAAAAAGGAATTTTATTTTTATTTATCGTTTTGATTGAGACTTCACTATTTAGAGGTGGAAGAATAATTAATAATCTGGTGTGGGGATGCATGCCTGTGATTTAAGCAGCTCAGGAATCTGAGGCAGGAGGATCACAAGTTCAAAGCCAGCCTCAGCAACTTAGTGAGGTCCTAAACAACTAAGCTGTCTCAAAAAAAAAAAAAAAAATAAAACAAATTAGAAGGGCTGGTATGTGGCTCAGTGGCTAAACACTCCTGTGTTCAATCCCTGGTACCAAAATAATAAAAATAATATTAATAATAAATAAAGTTACATGCATGGCCTCAGGTCACATTGATCTGATGTAATTTCGACATGTGTTCCAATGAGCACATGGAAAAGGAAATTTAGATTTCATTATTCCTATGGGAAAAGGAAATCACATAACATGAAAAGACTCCCCAATTTCCCAGGCTCCAGGAAGAAACCTCCTGTCTCCACAGAACTTCTTCCTTCATCTCCAAGCTACTTCTAGTTACTAACACAAGATTTCAGAATTCAATTTTAATCTCTCTGAGTTCTCTTTTTCTCTCTTTCTGGCTAACTTCATCTAAAACTCTGAAAACTCCCCAAGGATTCTCCTCGTGGGCTAATGGACCTTCCTTCCTTCCTTTCTTCTTCCCTTTTTCTCATGTGTGCAATGGGGCAGTTTTGACCAGAATGTATTTTCAGTTATGAAGCCAAAGAGGTAACATTTTACCTAATAGCAAAATCCCAAACAATCCCTGAAGAAAGAAGGAAAGAAGAATAATTATTTTATTTTTGGCAAAGAATGTATATGCCTACAATATAATTTTTCTACTATCTAAACTACTACTCTGATATCACATAGGACAAATTTTAACAAAGCAGCCTTTTAATTTTAATAGTCTGCTGACACACAAAAAAATTAACGTGCTTTACCCATCAAGCTGATTTGCATTGTTTTCTTCAGGTGGCTCCTAAAAATTTGGATCTCAAAGGGGAAAGAATCCTGAGAGATGAATCCAGTCCTTAATCAGAATCCAGTCTTGGGGGCTCAGAATCAAATCTGGAGATACTATTTATTGAGTACCCATCATTTGCTGAATTATGTGATGACTAAGCTTTCTGGTTGTCTGTAAAGGGTAGTGGAGAAACAGACATGCAAATATGTCAATCATATTAAACACAGTAAATGCCAAGACTGAAGAATGAATAGGGCACTTTGGGAGTCCAGAAAATGGAAGTCACAGTTCTTTCCTTAATACCACTTAAGCACTTGTGGGGGAGATGGGGATTAGACACATGAGAGCACAATCAGGCTCTGCATCTTTTGTGCAGAGATTATACCGCAGTGCCATTATTTCTTTGTATCTTCATCCAAAGGCTCATGGCTAATTTATATGCCTGATTGAAAGGCAGCAAGATCTTATGCTTGCATGCAGTGGATAAAAGCCTGGTCTTTTTGAAAACAAAACAAAACAAACCAAACAAAATAAAATAAAAAAGGAAAGAAAGAAAGAAAGGAAGATACCCGAGCCTTACAGTGGGCACAAAAGCTTAGCTCCGCAAGAATGTTAAACCCTATTTTATTTCTCTGCCACTGAATTTAAAATGAGATTGGAGAAGGACTGTGAGTGTTGAGAGGAGTGAAGCAATTTCAAGTGACAGAGTTCAAAGGAGGTGGTTATGCATTTCTAAATGGGTACTGAATCTCCTTTAGAGATATTTTGCACTTAGAAATAAAGAGTTCAGCTGAGACTTGTCACCTAACTTTCTGGAGGAAATGGTCTATGCAAATGGACTGCATCTTTTACTAAAAGCCACAGTCATGGTAATGCTAAGCTTCATTCTTTTGACATTCCACAAATATTTATTGAATGCCTACAGGGCACTAGGAGCTTGAGAAACAAAACATGGTATTTCAAAGAGATCTCTGTGTAATTTATCTTGCAAAGTGGTATACAGTAGTACTTAACCTTCCACTGTAGGCAAGGTAATGATAGTATTGACCATATTCAAATTTCAGAAGAAAGAGTAGCCACATAAATTCATCAGCAGTTATTTTCTGAAAAGAAAGACATGTTTACTTACAGAAGAATATCTAAAATAAAGCAGGTACTTCTTAGCCAACACCCCAGAAGGTGTATTGTTTTCTGATATGATTCTATAAGCTCTTCAATTAAAAAAAAAAAGTGAGAGTCTTATTAAAAAAATAAAAAGAAAGAAAAGTCATGACTATGGAAATAAGTATACAGAATTAAACTGAAGTTTTCAATTGATACCTCTATCATTTTTTAACTAAATGCAATTGTCTAAGTTCTGCTTTAACTTTATTCTCAAAATATTATATGTGACAGATATAAAATTAGCAATATTTTATATAAATTCTGAGCTTGGAACAGTAGAAAACATATATTATTGTTTCTAGCATCAATTCTTTTTTGAACCAATAAGAAAACCCTCCATTTTGCTTTCAGAAATCACCCTCCTTCCTTCCCTACCTCTCTCCTTTTCTTCATACATTATCTTGTTTCAGTTTCTGTGCCATTTCACTCCCAATTGAGATCATTTATTCAGTGACCAATTAGAATATTTTATCTTCTGACAGCAATTAGTGTGTGAGAGAAAGTCATGTAGCCCTAGCTGGACCACTCTCAGGATTCCATCAAATTTTGTATAGGATGACTAAAAAAGACGTCCTTTTTTTTTTTCTTTTTTTAAGAATTGCAAGCTCTAAGAACTAGATAAGTCAAAAGCTGTCAGTGGAACACAGTATCTGGAGAATGGATTTCTATTAGTTTCGAGTGGCACAACTGCTACTGTTTCTAACACAGAGGTAATGCTTGTGAGTGGATCAGAACATGATAGAGAGACACAATTTTGTCCTCTTCATCTCTCACCTCTGCTTTTCTTTGTGTTGGATCTGTGATCAAGCGACTGTCCCTCCTTTTTCAGTGGTGAAATAACTGTCGTCAGTTCTACCTGTGTTAACCTCTCTTCTTGACATTCCAAAAAGAAAGCACATGTGTCCTCCTCCACAGTTCCAAGTTGGTTCTTAGAATTGACTCTCAGCCCTGGCTGGGAAAATAATTTCATTCCAGAACCAATCACGTGGATGGGAAACTGGACTAACCCACAGATCAGCCATATTTATGTGATGTGTCCATAGGATTTTTAGGTAACATACTATTATGTATCTTCAGTTTTCAATTGCATGGGATTGTATGGTTTTCTCTCTGTTTTTCTTTCCTCTTGGAGTAATATCTGCTCTAAATTAAGCAGCACTTCCATCTCTTCTCATTTTACAGAATACTCAACAACTGAATATTGAAAAATGAAGATAAGAAAGGAAAAGGGAAGAGATAATTGCAACCTTGGAAAGAATCGCATTAGTCTCTTTATTTTATACCGTTTAGTGGGTGCTGGTCAGAGTGCCACAGAAGAAGATACTGAGATGAGAATTAGTATACAAGGAATTTGTTTAGAAAATTCTTCCCAGAAAAGCAAGGAAATTGACAATTATATACAAGTATTTTAAATGAAACTAGAGACAGCTACTGTAAAGGTAAAATTTCTAAGCTGATTCTAAGCTGCAAAAGTCTGAGTTAAAGTGTAAAAGACTGGACATTGTAAAGCTTCTAAATCGCAAGGCCTGGACTAAAAAGTAAATGACGAGGTATTGTTAAAATTCCTCTGCTACCCCGGAACCTGTAATCCCTGTAGCTGTTAGGACAATACCTGAACTGCCCAGTAAATATTCCTCCTGGTTCCCTGGTTGTTTAATAGCTAAGGGCTCCAAGTAGCCTGGCACGTAAGCATCTAGGCTCCAAAACCAATCAGTTTAAATGTGTACCCCGCTTAGGAATGACCAATCACCCCTGCCTGCCCTGTTCCCTCCAATGAATGTACTAATCCTGTCTCAGAGTTGTTGTTCAATTTTCCCATGCCTCATGATGATTTGTTCTGATGTATGCAAAGCCCCCCCCCCTCTCCAAAAAGTGTACTTAAGCTCTGCTTGACCTCTGCTCTGGGCTCTGGGCTGCTCTCCCTTCTTGAGTGAGCACGGAGCCCCAAATAAATCCACTTTTGCTAATTGCATAGAGTCAGTCTCTTGTGTGGTCTCTCCCTCTGACGCTCCGCCGGACCCTTTGCACTACAGAACATACACTGATCTGAACTCAGAAAATAAATAGGAAAACTAGCTGAACATAGCGGACTCCTATAATCCCAGCTACTGGGGAGGCTGAGGCAGGAGGATCTTGAGTTCAGAGCCAGCTTGAGCAATTTAGCCAGGTGCTATGAAACTTAGTGAGACCCTGTCCCTAAATAAAATACAAAGAGGGTTGGGAATGTGGCTCAGTGGCTGAGTGCCCTGGTTTAATCCCCAGTGGGGGGGGTGGGTGGGAGGTGGGGGGGTAGGAGCAGATAGGAAAACTAAGACTAACCAGGGCATAGGTTTTTGGTACCACTAAACACAAATAAATTGCATGTCTAAACCTCAAGAGCTTATTGGCATGTGTACCCTCATTGACTCTATGTTAAAGAGGACTGACTCTTGATGCTGAATGTGGTGGCATATGCCAGTAATTTAAGTGACTCAGGAGGCTGAGGCAAGAGGAAAGCAAATTTGAGGCCAGCCTCAGCAACTTAGCGAAACCCCAGCCACTGAGTGAGAGAGTATCAAAATCAAATTTAAAAATATAAAGGACTGGGAAGGACTGGGATGTAGCTCACTGGAAAAGAGTCTCTGGGTTAAACCCTCAGTACAAAACAAAACAAAAGGGGACTCTTGACATCAAAAGATGAAAATTTAGTAAAGAAATGGGTAAAATATAACAAGAAAGTGAATGAAGCAGGAAGAGCTGCTCAGACCAAGTTCTAGCCTCAGCTTGACCCTTTAGGCCTCTGGGCTACTCTGAAGGAATTGAGAGGGAGCTGGGCCTGAATATTACTGCACCAGGTCAGTGGTGATGGGCTAAGAGCCACCTGTCACCTGGATGGCATCTGGTGTGTACATGTCCAACCCTTCTGTCTCTGTGGGTGGAGAAGACAAGGTGACGCTGGCACTTTCAGAGCAACCCTCTAAACAGAAAATGATGTAGCCCTTAGGTTCACTATCTTTCTCCTTCCTTCTCTTGCTGGAAGTTGGCTTCAAAAGTTTTCATGGCCTCAGTAGCTCTGCTGTTTTCAAATTACTTTAAAAAAAATATTTTTTCTAGATCTTTACAGTGAAGAATTGGTCTGAAAGAAAGTAGTCTACTATTGCCTAAGGGAAATCTTGATGTGTTTTTGTCAAAGGAAGACACTGTGGAGGACTAGGGAAGATCTAAGGACTTAGGAACCCGTAGAATGTCTTTTTTTCAATTATTGAGAAGCTGCGTGCGATTTCGATTCATTCCAAATGAGCTGAAATTCATGTATGGACAGAAATACATTTGTTTTGCTTTTCCAAAGCAAGTATGGAAAGGTTCACGCTTAAAATAATGATATTGGACAAGGCTCAAATGACTGTAAAAGGCATTCATCCTTGCTTCCCTGTTCTTAAGGAACTGTCAAAAATTGAGATTTATGATGCACTGTTAGTGAACTTTAGAATAAATTGCTAAACAAATAGAAAGTAATTACATTCAATGCATTGATTATGGCAATTCTGTGAATTAATTCAACCAGCACATATTTATTGATATCTTCCAGATACTTTTCTGAGCAAGGAAGATAACACTGTATTATTATGATTTTTTTTTTTTCTTTTTATGTTCTATAATGCTTTGACATCTGGAAACCTGTGAGACAAGGAGGAGGGCATTGCCCATGAAGGGTTAGCAAATTTCTAGAAATACCAAAAGACTTTCCTGTGAGCAAGACTTTAATATGCAAACCAGACAAATATTCAGGCTACTACAGTCTGGGCTACTATCTTCCTATCCTACGTTACCCTAGGACCAGATACTAGATATCTAAGAGCAAGCACCCTTATAGCCCAGAGTCTGCCTTAATTATGCAAACCATCCAATCTTATGTCTGCTCAGATGTTTGCTGTGCTGTCTTACTCTTTTCCAGATGCTTTACTATATAGCTCCATGTGGCAGGGGTGTGCCTCCTCCTCAGGGGATCCCTGAGTAACAAACTGTCTTCAATGACTGTCTTTCCCTGATCTGTTGGCCTCACCATTACCAGAATAAAAGCAAAATCCTGACTCTGTTTTAAAATACCTATGAAGGGTATCTGTGTTCTCAGAGAGGATGGGAAACAAAGTTAAAGGCTCTGAATAAAATAAAACTGAATAATATGAGACAAGTTGATGAACTGAGAGCTAAAAAATGCTTTCAATGAGGTGGTCACTTTTCAAAGGAAATCAAAATGTAAAGGACACTCAGCCATAACTATGCCATGGAATGAAGAGGGTTTTTAGAATAATTTTAGAAACATTTCTGTCTACCATTATCTGCACCAGGTAATCAGGTTGCATGTTACTTATAGGTGCTTTCTAAGAAAAATTTCAGTTATACCCATAAGCAAGCTCCCTGGCTTATTTTTCTTATCTCAGACTGATAGAAGAATAAATGCACATTTCATTTTATTATGACTGCAAGTCTAAAATGATCATGTATAGTGGAAGTAAGAAGTTTAATTCATTGATTTGTCTTAGAAAAATTAAAAGTTGGCACCAACCATGGAACGAAATATTTATCTGAGAGACGACAGTATTGCCTTGATGTGCCATTCTACTTGATTACCATTTCTGTTCCCTTCGAATACAATGAGCTAAGATAACAGAAATGTAAGTGATTCTGTCTTCTCTTTTGATTTTAACAAAACCATCTGATGAATTTTATACTGATCATCTTACAAAAGAAAATTAGAGGTTGACATCACTGCCCATGGCAGCAAAGCGGCACCTTTACCTAACAAGATACCTTTTCACGTAAGTATGAATAATACTATCTTTTACTCTCATCATTTTTTTTTCCTTTTTAAAGAGTAAAAGACTTGAGTTCACTGTAGAAAATTCATTACTGGTCATAGCTGCACCAGGCAGTCATTTTAACTCATATTGGAACAGTACATATTACAGGAGAATCAGTACATGATGATTCACTAAGACATGCCTTGGACTCTAATTAAAAATTGAAACCATGGGGCTGGGGATATAGCTCATGGGAAGAGTGCTTGCCTAGCACTTGTGAGGCCCTGGGTTCTATCCTCAGCATCACATAAAAATCAATAAATTAATTAAATAAAGGTATTGTGTCCATCTACAACTAATATATGTATATATTTTAAAAAATTAAAACCTTTACCCAGAAAACTTAGATGATATGGAAGAACTTAGCCCTAACTACAAATCTTTTGTAGGAAAAAGGTAATTTGTCCCTGTAAAAGAGTCAATACAGGGACTTGCTTGAAGAACTGAGAGCAAAAATGACACGATGATACAATATTTTGTCTGAAAAATTTGAACATGTTTTTAAAGCAATCATCTTGTAAGGGTCCGACAGAGCGTTGGAGAAAGAGACCACACAAGAGACTGGCTCCATGCAATTGGCAAAAGGGGATTTATTAATTCAGCATGCTGAGGTTCCAGGCTCACTCAGGAAAATAGAGCAGCCCAGAGCCCAGAGCAGAGGTCAAGCAGAGCTTAAGTACACTTTTTGGAGAGGGCGGGGGGCTTTGCATACATCAGAACAAATCATCATGAGGCGTGGGAAAATTGAACAACAACTCTGGGACATGATTAGTACATTCATTGGCAGGAACAGTCTGGGCAGGGGTGATTGGTCACTCCTAAGCAGGGTACGCATTTAAACTGATTGGTTTTGGAGCCTGGATGATTACGTGCCGAGCTACTTGGAGCCCTTAGCTATTAACAACCAAGGGAATCAATGGAAATATTTACTGGGCAGTTCCAGTACTGTCCTAACAGCTACAGAGATTACAGGTTCCGGGGGTAGCAGAGGAATTTTAACAATACCTAGTCTTTTACACTTTAACTCAAGCTTTTGCAGCTTAGAATCAGCTTAGAAATTTTACCTTTACAATCTTAATAATTTCTCCTCTTACTTGATCAATTTCTACAGCATATCATGTATATCATGTGAGACCATGTTGGGTCATTATTTCATAGCATTTAAAACTCCATAAGATCATTTAAAACATTAAGAATAGAGCATCAGATATTCCAATCTTAATTATTTACCCAAGTGAACTGAAAACATGTTCACACTAAGAGTTGCACATAAATTTCAATAGCATCTTCAGTCACAATAACCAGTGCTTGGAGTATATGAGGGAGACGTAACTGTCAATCTACATGTAAATGGATAAACAAGGATATGCACAGAGTGTAATAATACTCACCAATAAACAGGGAAAATGTGGAAAGCCAGACATACATACAACATGGATGGGTTTTAAAATCCTTATGCCAAGTGAAAGAAGCTAGACATGAAAGATCTCATTTATATAAAATGCAGACTAATCTTTGATAACAAAATGGATATTGGCAGCTGTCTAGGACAGAGGGAAAAGAGGGGTGTATTACCCAGGGACATCAGCAACCTTCCTAGGTGATGAATATGTTCTGTATCTTGACTTCAGTGAAGATCTTACTGATACATCAAATAATCAAATTATATAAAATGGATGCATTTTACTGTATGCAGATTATTTCTGAATAAAGTAATGAAACTAAAGAAGATGAGACAACCAAACAGGATTTCTGTTTTGTTTTTTTCTGGTCCTAAATCTTGGACTCTTTTTACTACATA